TTTAAATAATACTCTATTGTAAAAAATGATGTCCTTATACCATATACATCCCACACTTGTAAAAATGACGTCCTGAGTTAGCATTTATCTATAATATCATCAGTTGTGCATTAAGATCAAATTTGCATTTACCTCAAATAAAATGAGATTTTGTGCGATTACTTGCTTAAAAAAATTGAGACATAATTATTTACGATGAGGATGATGTAGGCGATTGTGCTTAGGATTTACTTTTAGCATCTAGTTTTTATTAATAAAAATAAATAAAAAGGAACAATAATAAAGTGGTAATTCCATGTCTGCCACATAAAACACAAAAATGGAGAGATACTTTAAAAACCTAAAAAAATTTAACAGAAGAATTAAAATACTGAGTTTTTTAAAAGAGATTAAAAATTTTAAAAATATTAAAATAGATGAATCAAAATTACATTTAAATATATACATCTTTGAATACCATTAAGAACCTCAATTGAATACCGTCTGATATCTTTCAGAAAAAATATCAGAATTATCTTAAATAAATAAAACAAAATTTTATTTAAATTTTATAAAAATCTTAACACTACTACAAGATATTTTATAACAAAAAAATCTTTATCGCATCCCGAGAATTTTTTTTTAGAATAACCACATATTAAACTTTATTTACCAATATAATGCATATTTGAAATAATTTTCCAAAATAACCAACTGATCAACGTCCAGTCGCCATTCCAATTGGCGAATGCTTACAAATTGGAAAATCAAAAAAGCCAATTCGCCACATCAATTGGCGAATGCTTGTAATGTGAAAAATAAAAAAAGCAATTCGACATCTCAATTGGCGAATGTGCTTTGTGTTTTCAATTTAGGGTTTCCACGTTTTTTATTATATCATTATCAGGTTTTAATAAATTTAAGTAATTGATTATTTTATTAATTTTAATTAATGTTTTATTCTATTTTTTAAATAATTATTTTTAATTAATTTCAATTAATAAATATTTGATTTCAATTAATAATTATTAATGTAAATGAATTCTTATTAAATTAATTTAAAATTTGATTATGATTTAATTTTAATTTTTTTAAATATTTATAATTGGTATAAATAGTTTAATAAATTGTTTGTGTAAATATGTGAATGGTAATTGTTATTAAATTTATACATATTTTAATAAATATTTTAATTAGGTTTTAATAATTATATGTTATTAAATTATGTTGTTTGTTTTTCATAATTAATTGAAAATTTACATAACATTAAGAAAAAACTAAATACAGAAATGTTAAAATAAAATATATAAATAATAAATTATATTAATTTATAATCTAGTGAAAAGTACAATTACAACTGAACAAAAGACAAAAACTAATGACCGACTCTATCCAAGTGACCACTGGTGCCACATTGTGGGGACGCGCGTTGCGACGAGATCTACGAGGAGGTTGCAGTGGTGTGTCCGGTCTCTGTGTGTTGAGGTGTGGAGGAGGGTATGGTTGGGACGGCCCCAGCGTATCAGATAGAGTTTGCATCATTTGACCCCAATAGCCGGGAGGTCCACTGTCAACAGCGCTTCCGTAGTCAAGCCTGATGCCCATGTTTTCGAAGGATTCTCGGGGAGGTTGGGTGGAGTATGGACGGTATGGTTGTCTGAATGTGTACATGGAGTTGGGTTGGTCTAGGTGTGTTGGTTGTTGCGGGGTGTGGTAGTCGAATAATGGATAGTTTGGGGGGTCGTTGGAGGGGTCGTTGGAGGGGGTAAGGTCAAATGAGGTGTCTGGGATATAGTTGGAGGGGTAGTTGGAGGGGGTAGGCTCAAAATACGTATCAAGGCTGTAATGGTAAGGTGGTTGAGGTTGGGATTGGGTGGTTGGTATGTAAGGTTGTCATTGTTGATATGGGGTATTTGTTGGCATGTATGGATTTTCGTAAGCCTGGTTTTGGGTACTGAACTGTTGTTGTGGGTTTGACGAAGAATCGCGTTCCCTTGGGTCAGTCAAATAGGTTGGCTGCGATGAGATTCTGTCATTCGTTAGCGACAACCCGTCTTTGAAGGTGAGTACCATAATTGCACATATGGTACAAAGGTACAACTACACTCCTTCGTACCGAAAAGCCTGGATTGCAAGAACTAAGGCAGTTGAAAAGGTGTTTGGAAATTGGGAGGAGTCGTACAAGGAACTTCCTAAATTCCTGGTGGCCCTTAAACACTACTCTCCAGGAACTGTTGCGATATTGGAGACGATGCCTGCTTGTACACCGGACGGGACTTGTGTTGGTGGAAATGGAATTTTCCACAGAGTCTTCTGGGCGTTCAAACCATGCATCAAAGGGTTTGCATTTTGTAAACCTATAACTCAAATTGACGAAACATGGTTATACGGGAAATATAAGGGCACACTTCTCATGGCTGTGGCACAGGACAAGAACAACAACATTTTTCCAATAGCCTTTGCCATAGTAGAAGGGGAGACTGCCGAGGGATGGAGTTTTTTCTTAAAAAACCTCCGCTCTTACGTGTCTCCACAACCTAACTTATGTTTGATCTCCGATCGACACTCATCCATCGAGAGTGCATACAACAACCATGACAACGGTTGGCAGGATCCTCCCTCGACGCACGTCTATTGCATAAGGCATATTGCCCAAAATTTCATGCGGGAAATCAAGGACAGGACGCTGCGAAAGAAGGTTGTGAACGCGGGATATGCACTAACTGAATCCACATTCAGATACTACCGTGACGAGATTAGACTGAACAACGCGGACGCATTAAGATGGATTGATAGAATTGATAGGGAGAAATGGACGAGGGCATACGACAATGGGGTGCGATGGGGCCACATGACAACTAACCTCGTAGAGTCAATGAATTCTGTTTTCAAGGGAATCCGAAACCTCCTAATAACTGCCTTGGTGAAGGCAACCTATTTCAAGCTAGGATCACTCTTTGATAGCAGACGTACGAAGTGGGGTTCGGTATTACAATCGGGCCAGCTGTACATCGATACTTCAATGAAATTCATGAAAGAGGAAGCTGTCAAAGCCAACACACACGTGGTCACCATCTTTGACCGTACAACTGGTTGGTTCAGTGTTGTCGAGTCTATGGATCACAACGAAGGAAGGCCTAGGGGATGTTACCGTGTTGAATTGGATAAGAGCTGGTGTGATTGTGGAAAGTTTCAAGCATTATGTATGCCGCGCTCTCATGTCATAGCAGTATGTTCCAAGTTGCGCTAGGACTCAACCAACCTTCTTTCTGCAGTTCACCAAGTCATTAGTCTATGCAATGTCTACACATGCAGCTTTCAAGTGGTGGCAAAGGAAGACTATTGGCCTCAATACGAAGGCGAAATTGTCTGGCATAATGACCTGATGCGCGACAGAAGAAGGGTCGGCCTAACAGCACGCACATTCGAACTGAGATGGATACCGCAGACAAGCTGGTGAGATTGTGTAGTTCGTGTTGGCAACCAGGACACAATCGAACAAAATGTCCTAACGTAGGATCAAGCAGATCATAGTTTCATGTGTAATCTTGTCCCGTTAAATCAATATCAAATTCCATCCGATTAATAACAACTTTTATAAGATTAATAGCAAATTTCTTTCGAATAATACCAAGTTTCAATCAATTAAAACCATAGTTATCTGACACAACAACAACATGACAACAGAACACTACGCGAAGGCAACATAAATTAAACAAACATAACAACAACGTAAAGACTTAAAACATAACACTGCACCAAAGCGTCTACGATATCACGACCATAAACTTTATCTTCTTGGGTGTCAACATCATCACAAGGACACCGACATCATTTTCCACTTTTCTCCATTCACGAGTCACCCCGTTTCTCCCGGTCTCTTCGACCAGCCTCTCGATTTTCCTAATCTTTTCTCCTGGACCAATATTCCTTCTAGCCAGCGGTTCAGTTTCCTGTGCAAGTGCTCCAACATCTGCGTATTCCAGAGGAGCACCTTCATCGGAGCCTTTGTTGGTGAAAACACAACTAGGGCATTTCTTTTCATTAGATCGAACGTTGGAAAAGGTTCCTCCGATGCTGATGACGACGACGACGAACGTTGATTTAGAAATGCAGACATTCTAGGCTTCACTCAACTCAAAATGCACTAAAGCTTCAGTCTTTTGGGATACAAAGTTGTGAAAACATACTTGTGTTTGCAGTCGTATTTATAGTAAAAAAAATCCCATATGATATGACTTAAACACCCTTAAAAAATTTACATTAATTAAACTTCAGTGAACACTCAAATTTTATGTTTTAAAATTAAAAATTAATTTGAGATCAACATAAATTTATTTAATTAGGTTTAAAATCTAAACTTCAATGAACACTCAACTTTTAGATCAACATAAATTTATTTAATTAATTTGAGATTTTTTTTTATTTGAACCTAATTTCGTAAAATTTATTAATTAAAAATTAATTTTAACTTTAAACCTATTTATTTAAAGTTTATTAATTAATAATTATTTAAAGTTCATAAAATATAACTAATTTAAAATAGTTTATTAATTACTATTTATTTAAAGTTTATTTATTAATTTATTTAAAGTTTAATAATTTAAGATTAATAATTATATTTAACAATGCACACGTGAAAACCCTAAACTGATAACCCAAAGCACACATTCGCCAATTGAGATGAATAATTGTTTTTTTTATTTTTCATATTATAAGCATTCGCCAATTGATGTGGCGAATTGATTTTTTTTATTTTCCAATTTACAAGCATTCGTCAATGGGAATGGCGAATTGGAATGACAATTGTTTGATACATTATATTAGTAAATAAAGTTTAATACGTGGTTATTTTTTAAAAAAATTCGCATCCCAATAGCGTATGCCAATTAAAGTCATTCTAATTTTAATTTTATTATCTGATTTTCCATATCTCATAATTTAATGTGTGATTGATTGTGCGAAAAGTAAAAACAAGCTCAAAAGCGATTTTCCTTTCAAAAAACGCAGTATAATGCATTATGCAGCGACTCAGGAATTTGAGATCAATCTCAATCTCAAATTCAGCTTCCGCTGCTAACCTAAAACGCAAATCTCTCAATTCATGGGCTGCAATTCAAGAAACCTACCTCTCCACCAAGGTTCCTTCCTTCTCTCTCTCTCTCTCTCATCATTCTTTCTCTCATCATTTTCTGTTACAGGATACGTTTGAGAGACACCGAGTTGTTTTCACCGTCGGAACTTCCATTGCATCCGTCGCAACTGCTTTCTTAGGTTTGTTTTCTCATTCATCGCAACAATATAACCTAATTTCATTATTATATGCTTACTTTTGTATTTTTAATTTTAATTTTTTTATTTTGTTTCGAATTTTAGGGTATTCGTTGCGTCATGTACATGATTCTAGAGTTGATGAAAGGCTTCAATCCATTGAACATGCTGTATGTTTTCTATCTATTTATTTTGATTTTTTTTATTACTGTTTTTGGTTTTACTTGTTTTCATTATCTATACTTTGTTTCTGTTTATTGCCAGATGAAAAGCAATGTAAATCTTCAACATTCTGAAATCAAAGATATTGTTGGTCGTCCTGGAGGTTGTAGTATTCCTGCTTGTGCAGCTACTGCCGGAACCGCCTTACTTATCGGGTTTGTTTTGTTTCCCTTCAGTGATCCATGTGCTTAACTACGTGAATTGATCTTTTTTATAGATAAATTGTTAGTGGTTAGTTTGTTAGGGGGAGGGGGATTTGTTAGTAGGAGGGATTGAACCCTGAATCTCCTTGGTGTCCTAGCACATTCCGTTGGGCTACTCTTTTGGGGACTTTGTGAATTTTTTCTTAACATCGTGTCACGATTTGCTATTACAATCAGCTAATTTGTTGATTGGTTTTTCACTGCATCCATTATGCTTTTTATATGGTGTCATTTTGTTTTATGACTTTTATCGTTAATGTAGTTGAAAGTATGAGTAGAAAGAATATTGATTGCATTTTTTGTGTGGAACATGCATACAAATATCAATATTAAAGCAAGATCTCCACATCACAAAATTCAATTTGTTTTATGTTGTGTAGACCAACTAGGGATGCTATGTACTAGCCCAAAACACCGGATTAGGATTTATGATGATGTACACATGGTTTTTATTGATTTAGAAAAGAATATGATAGAGTATGTGTTAAGGGGTCATGACTAGTGCGAGAATGCAAGTAGTTTTCCTATGACTATAAGTATGAACTGAAGGTCAAGTTTAAGTGATTATCTTTTCATATTGACTTAGAGACAATGCCACAATGCATATTTTATGCTGATGATTTGGGAGCCGAGAGAAGAAATGGATGGAAGGTTAAGGAATACAGAGATATGCCTTAGAAATACACAATTTTTGCTTAAGAGTAAGGCAACATATATGAAATGCATATAGTTGGCCTTAGACAACAAATATTATAGCTTAAAGGTAAAAATTGAAGAACCAACAATACCCCAAGTCTCACGTTTTCAAGTACCTTAGGTTCTTCATACCAAGTGAAAAGAGATAGAGATGTATGGTGGATGAAATCGAGGAATTTTTTGGATGTGATCTGTGACAAAAAATGTACCATTAAAGCTTTAAAGAAAGTTTTGGTGTATAACTACAAGACATTATAGTACTAATATATGGAGCTTAATGTTTAGTTATGAAGAACAAACAACAAAGTAAACTCGGCGTTATAGAGATGAAAATGTTATGATGGACAAGTGGTCAAAGGAGACAATGTAGGATTAGAAATACAATCATTAGGAAGAAAATTGGGGTCACTTCTCTTGGATTAAAGATAGTAGAATCCTGCCTTAAAGACAAGGTAGGTTTAGAAATATAATCATTAGGAAGAAAATTGGGGTCATTGCTGTTGAATTAAAGATAGTAGAATCCAGCCTTAGCTAATATGGACAGTATGTGGAAAAGACTCATATAAGCTCTTGTTTGAAGGGTTGACCTAATAGAGATTAGTCCAATAAGTAAGGTTTGCGAGAGACAAAAAGAAACTTTAGACCCAACCAAACAACTAAGAGACTTAGAAGTAAGCTATCTATCTTTGAACTTAATGTTTTCAGATCGATGTAATCAAACACACATAGTAGGGTATTGTTGTTATACTTATGATAGCTCAGTATATAGTTTTGCATTACTAACAAATGTTTGTTCAAATTTTTAAACTCACCGAGGAAATGAAAAATAGAGATGAAGCAAAATTTTAATTTTGGAAGATGAAAACAGATTAAATCATTCAAGCCTGTTTAGTAATCTAAAATAATTCTGTGGACTCTTGATTTTTAGGTTCATCTTTACACCTAATATTGAATATCGACCAGTCATAGCTGAATATATTTACTGCCAAATTGTTCTGGATTTGTTTTGCTTTGTTCTTTTATGTAATGAGAAAATGTTTTTATCAAGATAACACTAGAGGACGAATGTGGGCAACTAAACTAAAAGAGTGTAAAAATGGTTCCATGAAGCCCAATTCTTTTTCTCCACTTGATAATGGCGTCCTGAATATAAATTTGATCCTCCTTATCTTTAAGACCCGAAACTTCTAAATTTTGAAGGATGACAAAAACAATCAATATGGTTTGAAGATTTATTTTGGTTTTGATTTTGCTATTGTTTAATAACTTTGGAAGTCGGACGAAAATGGGGCCTCTAGTGGGAGGTCACTCTCTCAAATTATTAGTTTATTTATTTCTTCTATTTCTGTTATCTTGGATAAGAGTATCACATTTGCATATTTAGTGTATTGAATGTTGGTATTTTGCAATTAGTTCAATCGTTTTAATTTCCTTTTACTCTTAAATTTTTGACTTTTTGCTGATATGCAGGTATGGCTTGGGATGGAGAGGTGGAAGCTGGTATACAAGAAAGAAGTTCAAAAAGGAACAGATGAAATTGCTAGGACAGATTAAACCTAGAAGATGGCAAATGCTTGGGAACATAAGAGCTAAAGGGTGGAAATTCCAGTTCCCTAGAAGATCCAAAGGGCAAGATACTGCAGTGAAAACATCTGAAACAATAATAAAGGACACATCCTCCACGCACATTGCTGGAAAATCTCATTAGAATTTATACATTGATTAGTCTTCGAAACAGATAAACAGAGGAGCAATGTAGTTACACTTATAATCAATCACACCCAGATTTTGCACTGGCACTGGTATTATATTATTTTGGCCTGCAGTTCCTCACTCTTAGCTTCATATTCTTCATCCTTCATGTGATGAGTGTCTAGATCCTTTTGCTTTATTTTGATTATAAAATTTATAATGTAGGAAATACTCATAACTATGGGGTTTGACAAAAAGATCTCACAATTTTCAGTTTTGTTGATTCAACTTTCATTAATTTTAAAATTGTTGGAATAACAACTTTGTTTTCACTTATATGTATAAGCTCTTATATTGTGAATATGAATGTAATGCAGTTCTTATTTGATAAAAAAAAATACATTTGATGATATTCTTTTTTTTATGGTCTAGTAGTATAATAATCAAATTTCACCTTTTAGGTTTGAATACGTGTCCATGGCTTTGAACTGAGTTGGATTAACGAGATTTTGATGATTTTTATTTTATTACTCTCAAATAAAGTGAAATGCTCAATTATAGAGTGGGGGTTAGAATGTTACATATACACTTATTTCAAAAAAATATTGATTATTAAATTTTGTTTTACACTAAATCATTGGATTAGATTGATAAAATGAATCCATGAATGCGTGAATATTCAAACTTGAAATAATTGGTGGCTTAGAGTTTAATATTATGCTCTTACAAATTTGAAATCCTTTATATTTGGATGTTTGAAACTTTTTATAGGTGATTGTGAATTTTAAAGTTATGCATTTTGTTTTTTTTTTATTATTATTAGGTTGGGGCAAGGATTAACTGCCTTTTAAGACGTCATGGCACAGTGTCTTTGGTTGATTTTAATCATTTTTTATGAAAGAGAAATTATAAAAAAAAATAGAAGTCATCATGTGCATTTTGATCAAATATTGTCAAGTGTCATTATTGGTTATGTTTACCAAGATTAAGAAGATGTATAATATTTGTTGAGTAACACTTTCTTAACAGAAACTACCAATTGCATAAAATTTAGAGTTTAAGTATTTGTTGAGAGTAATTCACAGTACATGTACAAACTCCATGCTTCTATGATAAGAAAAGTCTCTAGTCTAAGTTTGTTTGGTTTGTAATAAAAAAAGGAACTATTACACAACATTTTCTTCATGGCACATGTTTTGGCTTTTTATATGCACCACATTGGTCTGGTCATAGGTCACCTCTCAAATTCATAACCATCCACACATTTCATGTTAAGCTAAGGAATCATGTCACCAAATTCCAAAACTCTTAGTAATTTAATAGTATCCAACAATTATTGACCCCACAATTGCATTTTTTTAACCTCTATGTCCAATCTATTGACAAAAAGGTGGTTCAAAACTCCTCATGTGAATAACTTTTTTAACTTTATTTTATCTTTTCTTTCCTATGTTTTTATTCTCTTTTCTTTTCATATAAATAATATCTGAATTCGGAAGATTAATTCATCAGAAAATAGAAGATGGCAAAGATTTCACTCTCAATAACACTTGTGATTCTCTTCTGTGGTGTAACTCTTGCATCAAGAACTAAAATATTACCCCTTAGAAGAACTACTACTGCATTGGCACCAGAACTCATTGATGGTGTTTGTTCATCACTAGTGAAAACACAAGGCTATGCTTGTGAAGAACACTTGGTATGTACTGTGCAACATTGCTTTCATCTGTTTCTGTTTTTAATTAGAAATCAGAAACTTCTAGAGCAAAAAGTAAGCTTCTAACTAGCTTCTATGTGTGTGTAATTGTTTTTAGGTAACAACAAAAGATGGTTATGTTCTCAACGTGCAGAGAATTCTACCAAGGGGGAAATCTGGAAATAACATACCAGTTGTGCTGCAGCATGGACTATTCATGGTTACCAACAAACTTTGTTTTTTTTTTTTAATGATTTTTGTTGTTGTTCTTGTTGTTGATGTTGGAAATTAATGCAATGTTGTATGTTTCTTTTAGGATGGTGTGACGTGGTTATTGCTACCACCAAGCCAATCTCTTGCATTCCTTTTGGCGGATAATGGTTTTGATGTTTGGATTGCTAACTCGCGCGGAACCAAATATAGTTATCAACATACATCCCTTTCTAGTAACAGCTCGGTTAGTCCTCGAAATTTCCAATTTCCAATCACATTAGCACTTTTAAGTAGGCCAATTGCTTATACGAAGTTTCCATTGTTTAGGATTATTGGGATTGGTCATGGGATGAATTAGTTGCATATGATCTTCCAGCAACATTCGAGTATGTGCATGATCAAACTCGACAAAAGCTACACTATGTTGGTCACTCACAGGTGATTCATCGGTGAATTTTTTCATGTTTTCACCTCTCCATACGTATAATTCAACACGATATTAAAGAGTGAAGGTTTTTGGATTGGTTTTTTATAGGGAACTTTGGTTGCATTGGCTGCTTTTTCCAAAGATCAACAACTGGACAAATTGAGATCAGCTGCCTTGCTTTGTCCAATTGCTTATGTCAGTCAGATGACCTCACAAGTAGCTAAAAAGGCCGCTGATAATTTCATCGCAGAGGTAACTATTGTTAATCAAAGAAAATAGATATGATTGTTACTCAAAACTGAAATTACTAACATTGAATATATGTGTGGTTCTTTCTCAACAGACACTGTATAAGTTGGGAGTTTTCGAATTTAGTCTGAAAGGGTAAGTAATTCTTATTATCTTTTCCGTGACAAACATTAAGCAAGTATAATAAGACTAATCTTATGATGCTGATTAACCATGAGTTCAGAAATATCGGCTTGACTCCATCTTTTCTGTAATGTTTGAATAGGGGATCCGTTGTAAAGTTCCTTAAGGACATGTGCACGGGAACTTCCATCGACTGCAGCAACTTGTTTACATCTTTCACAGGTTTTATGCATATTCCAATTTAGCAATAAACACTCATACAAAAGGCTTATTTTTACAGTTATCACTTACATTGATATCACTATTATACTTTCAGGTCCAAATTGCTGTGTAAACCCTTCGTTAATAAATACTTTTTTGGATCACGAGCCTCAGCCATCAGCAACGAAGAACGTGATCCATTTATCTCAGAGTAAGTAGTCCTGTGACAACAATGTGTGAAATAAATTTTAGAGTAATTGTTTGTTCTACAAGAAAGGAATTGAATTTGAATCCTATGAATATTATGACAGTGATCAGAGAAGGAACCGTATCAATGTTTGATTATGAGAACCAAGACGAGAATATTCGACACTACGGACAGTCTACTCCACCGATATACGACATGACAAGACTTCCGAACGAGCTTCCTCTCTTTGTTAGTTATGGAGGTGCTGATGCTCTTTCTGATGTTAAAGATGTGCAACTTCTGTTAGAAAGTGTGAAAGATCATGATGCAGATAAACTTGTGGTTCAGTATAGAAATGATTATGCACATGCAGATTTTGTTATGGGACAAAATGCTAAACAAGATGTATATGAACCACTCATATCTTTCTTTAAACTTCAGTGATATTTAAGGAATATATAGTACACTACACACCTTATAGAATTTTTTGAAATTACTTTGTTTCCATGTAAAACAAATTCTTAGTACAGAAAATTCAGAATGTAAGCATACAGAAGATATTGTTAATAAAGGAAATTACTATATACTTTTCGGTTTTTGTGGACATCTTTTGTTAAATTCCAAAACTTCCAAAACGGAAATAATTCATGGGGCAAATAAATGAGTTAGTTGATTAACACATATTTTAATCGATTAAAACACCTTCAAAAATGGAAACCTTAACCGAGAAAAAGAAACCTAAAACGACTATACACTTCAATCGATTAATAACTTTTTTAATTAATTATAAGACGTTTTTTATTACTTTAATCGATTAGGCAGTGGGTTAGTATTTCTAATTGATTAGTAACACTTTTTAATCGATTCCATACTTTCTTGGATTGATTTTGAGAAGTTTAATGAGATCAGAAGAAGTTTGAAAAAAAATTCGCCTGTGTGTATGCGCGTTTCCTTAGTACTTTAAGACTTACTCTTGTTCTTTTACAACTTAATCTGATCAAACTTAAACGCTAAGCGCATTCAATTTCCATTGCTTGATTTTACTTTGATTAGCGTTTCAACTGAGAATGTGAATCATATGATGGATGAGACTTGAGATATCTTCTTCTTGATTAGATATCATCATCAGGAGTTACAAAACAGTTATTATCTATGTCTGAGATTGAGGTGAAAAAGTTGTATGGTTGAGATTACACCGCCATTTTTTTGTTTGATCGAGATTGTAGTAACACTTTTGTACGGTAGATATTGTATTGACACTTTGAGATGATCTACATTGTTTTGATTGTTCTAAAAATATATTTCAGTTGTTCTAAGTAAATCATAACAAAAATGAATCACTTGTCTTATCTTGCCTCTATTTACTTTAACGGTATGTGTCATATCCTAAATTTATTCTACTTATTCATAACTTTCATCTGTACAACAATTCACTAACCATCACTCAGAAAGATCTAAAATATATGTTGCTAGTTTGAATCACATTTTAGGGAGAGTTGTTAGGTCAAATGTAGGTGTGTCTAGTGGATTGTGTTAAATGTAATTCATTGTTTTGATTTGATTTGATATGATTAGATTTGATTTTAATATTTTTGGACCTTTTATGTTTTGGGCTAGTGTAAACCTAAAACTATAAATAGGGTGTCTTGCTTTGTATTCAATCACAACAGAACAGATTTCACAGTTGCAGTTAGCAAGTGAAAGTTCAATAAGAAATCCCACAGTTGTGGGTAACACATTCTCTCCAAATACTTCTTCTCTCATTCTTCTCTTTCTTGTTTGTTATTCTTCTTCTCTTTTGTTGTTCTTAATAATTACTTATTATTACCATCATTATCATATAATGGGTTTGTTCATCAATCTTGAGATCAAGATTGAAGGGAATTCTTCATAGGGTGTGAGGTGAATTTCCAACATCTG